CAAACCCTAGGCTGTTGATTTTGGGGAAGTGTATGATGCTGCAGATTTGTCATATTGCTCAATCTCCTGGTTAATAGGACGTAATATGCGGGAAGGACCATAGCCAAAGCAATTGCTATTTCTTTTGAATACCTATTCGCTTTCCTTTTTAACTTTTTCCTAGACGTCATTCTTGAGTTGATTGTATATATGTATATATGTTTATTCACCCTTTAACGTTTTCAGAAGTTTGAAGGTTTTCACTACCTGTCCAATGATTCAATACCTTTCTCCTTCAATGCACTTTTATCTACTTTGACAGCACTCTTTTTCTGTCCACTTTGTTTTTTGTAGTCTGTAGTTGAATGTGACAGCTTGAACCATTACACTTCTGTTCGAAATCCTGCTTTGATTTTATCTCTATCTACTCGTGTGCGAAATTTCTCTTCTTGAAAAGCGTCTTAGGAATTGGTTCCTTATCTTGATGGTCTGTGTTCGTTTCAGAGAAAGCAGTCCGTTATAATATGTGAGGAAAGTAATGGAGAAATTCGAGAAAATCTCACATGAACACCATCTTTAAAGTGAAATATGGTATTTCCTTTGTAATTTCAGTACACTGGTAATTCGGTATTAGTTGGATAGTTTGGTTTTGCGGTAGTTTATCTCAGTTAAATTTTTTTGCACATTGATATATATCAACTTAAATCATCTGCAACGTTAACGTGAGTGTTGAACATACGGCACAGAAACTCAGTCTTGCGTTATGGTTGTTAAAAACGAATATTATGAGGATTGGTTGGGGATTTTGAACTAAAAGTATCTTGACATAAAGCCATTTAGTTTGCGCTATTAAGCAAGGATAGTTGTAAGGTTTCATTTCAGCCAGAGAATCGGTTTGTGAGACTGTGAACATCCAGCGAATGAGGTATGTCATGAGTTTCAAGGGAGTGTATGTTAAATAGTTCTCACGATCATGAGAGTTTCTCATATTTTATAGTTAATTGCCAGCACTTATCTAGGTTGCATACGACGTCCAGGGTTCCAAATTACTGTGGAAGCTTTTATATAACTTCTCGATTCCCTATAGTCTTCTTACATACGACTATCCATGTACACACTGTGGCATTCTTCCTTTCTGTTGGTTTCAATTTTTAATGCCTATTTTCTGGTTGTACATCAATGACAGGGAATGATGACATACTTGGAGAAAGATTCCATGAACTTCTGACCTAAATCGGATTTTTCACGTACTAAAATTGTTTAAATCTGCTGGAGGCTACCAGTTGGATCCCAGACGTTTATTTTGTCTTGTCTGTTATTCGTCATCTCGATTTATTGGCACCCTAATGTGATTTCTTCTCTAATGAAGCTCGAATGCGGCGTCCACTTGCTCAAAATCCAGGGCGATATCTATTAGGTTACTGAAGTAATGTGGTCATATCCTTTTGTAACAGTCATCTTTGTTATTGAAGGTATTTTTCACATCTCCCGTTCTTGATTTACAGGACTGAATTGACCAGTCTCTGTTGGCATAGGAGCTTATTCTAATACAAAGGTGCTGTGTTAAAGTGTCAGTGAGTACACCGAACTTCACCCTCTGGGGTGCAGGCATATTCATCCAAACAGGATGTAACATGTCCTGGACTCCAAGACTAACCAATACGAAGTATGTAAGAAAGATATAATTAAAGGCAGTTTCTGTGCGTCTATACAAATAGCTATTATGGCTAACGCAAACTGATTAATTCCGGGATATTATCAACAGAAAATGTGAAAAACTTTCAAAAGTGATTGTCTGGATTTCTTCAGCTATAAACTACAGTTATTTGCTCAGAATGCTTTCTCACCTTAACTTCCCTATTCGAAATTATAAGACGATTACTTGCAGTAATCTGAATTCATAGTCAGCCTGAACCTTTCTTAGTTGTTAAATCATTGTCACACACTGTCTTCTAAAATACGGATCACAATCCACTTTTTTAAAAGACTTACTGGAATTAATTAGTTTACGAGGGTTCGGTAGTTTTTAAAGTTAATCAAAGAATGAAAAAAAGAAAGCGAAACCATGGAGTAGTAGGCATTTGTTTCTTTTAAATTTGATGTTTCTCAATAACTGTCCGTAAGTATCGAAAGCATGCACTCAGCAATGTTTTGCACTTTAATGCAGTAAGTAATGAGCTACACTAATTGTATGAGGGTTGTCCGAATCTCTGTAAGTGGAGTAGTGTTCGAGACCATGACATATTGATTCTAAGTCAACTGGCTAAACTATTGAACTGAAGCTTACATTAACTGTCTAGTACCCCATGGTTCTGAGACTGATATCAATCAACTGGGAAACCCATATATCCATGCCTTTTTGTAAGTGTTAAAGTTTAGAACACGATAACGCTTGTCAGTTGAATTTCATTTTATAGCTGTACCGACTAACAATATTGTTCAATGTAGTAGATTAAGGCAATTAAGTATTTTGACTGTGTTGTGTTTTCTGGGCTGGATTGTACAATCGTGGAGCTTTCGTTGTCATTTTAGACAACATCGTCAGCACAAACTCCAGCTCAGAGAACATACCACCATCAAAATTATCCCCCTGAGCCACAAATATTCTCCAGCACTTAAATGTGTCTAGGTGACTATGCCCACCAGTGTTTGGAGCTGCGGTTCTTTGGCATCTAGGCTTCCTACTTTTAACCAAGTGGATCACGGGTTCAAATCCCTCTCCACTTGCCGATGTCTGGACAGCCACTTGGTATTATAAACTCATACAATAGGCTAGGCTGATTGTCTGCCTCATAGACGTGCATGTGGAGACCATACAAATACTTTTTTTTAATGAATATATAAGTTGGAAATTATATTGCTTCATGTCATTTTCTGCATTTCCCTTAACGTGTGTAAAAACAAGCGATTGTTTATCTATAATGACTAGTTGCTTACTAATACTTTTTAATTTGATCGCCGCTTCCACGGAAATATGTTGGACCGCTCCGCTGTTTTTTTGTTTTACATCTCTGCCCGAGATCAGTACTAATGGATTGTTTATGGAAAATGTTTGCAAGGAACGCATGACCTATTTCTAAATGCATTCCGAAAATATTCTACGGCAGTTTCATTGCCATCGCATCCTAAAATCAGTCAGATCATGTTGCGGAGGCTAAATTTGTGGTTAGTTGAACTTACTAGAAGTGTATCCAAGTAACTGTCTGCGTATTGGCCTTCCGATTACACATCTATTTTTGTGGAAATTTTTGTTTCCCTTTTAATTACTTCCATTTTACAATCCTAACCTATTTCAGCTCAGCTCAATGTCACCTGCTAGTGGGCAGGCTTCCAATTGGGTGCATATGCATGGAAACGATTTACTCAAAAAACTATGCTTCCTACTAACGAAGAAAACCCTAAATTTCTGGGTATCTACCTGTATCTCCTCAGCTAGGACGGCATCGGGTGCCTTGTCTGGGTCATCCCGCTAAGGTCAAAAGCGACTCACATCCACCGCTCAATTAATAGCGCTCCCCGTCACCTAAGTTAGGTGACGCCCTGGAACTTCAGTCCTTACTGCACGCGTGGTGTTAGCAGTTAATTTATCAGGTTCAGGAGTTAGTCGGTGACTGTTTCCGAAGACCATTCCCCAACCAGGAGAGGAATGATATATACAAACGTCTTCGTTTTGAGCGTTCAGTAACAACCACTGGTGTGGTCACTAGGGTGGACCTCATCCTTGAACTACAACCTATACCATAGATATAGGCAAGCATGCCGGCCAACTCGGTCCCACTCAGGGGAGGTCACAGACCCTTCTCATAACCTTGCATGCATTCGCACACTCTCCCGTCGCTAGGCAAAGCACTTTACATATTCGCCTAGGTAGGTGGGTTTATAAACATCTGAGTATCTCCGTCATTGCTAATTCTAAGTAAGTTTTTTCGCTCTGAGGCCCCAGCACTGGACGGAAAGATGGTGTATCGGTTCGCAGGTTGATATCTGCTTGTCAGAGAGGGCCACAAGATGTTCCACTGTCCCACAACTAAGTTCAAAATACCATAGCCGCCAGAATCACCAGGAAGCCAGCTATCCAACCAAGGATAAATAAGTGTTCACCACTGGCTAAGCATTCATGTACGTCACCAACTAGATAACGAGACATTTGGCTACCTTAAGAGAGTAATACTTAGGTTTAGCAGTAAGCAGTTATAGATAAGGGGGACTTGGTTTTTATGGTGATTGTTTATGAGTCCACTGCATGCACTTGTTTGCTGATTTGCACGCTACTTAATGCCATTGCAGTATGCAAATACTTTATGATCTAATTCAGTGAAAAGAAGACATAATTTTACCTTATTTGCTGGTCGAGACAGTAGTTAACACTTGATTTGAAGGAAGTATCGATAATATCTATCTTCGTGACCTTGAAAGTGTTCAACACTCAAGAATGGAAAAGCTTGAACTTTATCGGTAAATTTTATTACATATTGAACTGAATTTATTTGGAGTTGTTTGGTTTATCTGGTGAAGTTTATTTTGTGCTCTTAACGAAACCATAAAAGTAATTTAAATGACATCAGTAAAGTTCTTTTAAAAGTTGTGTAGCTAAAACTCGCACTTTCTACCTAAATTAGCGATGATTAGACTGAGATTACAATACGAATTATGACAGAAAGTCAACTGTTCTAAGTTTTCACTGCTTCCTACTTCCCTTTTTCTAACAGAAGCTGTGGCTTATTCGATCTGGGTACTCAGTTCCTAACCGATGACTCAGGGGTCAAACCCTGCTCCCCCAACTGCGATCTCAGCAACCAAGTATTATCACTAGTCCTATTACAAAAAGTGTGTAGCTCATTGCCTAGTACAAGAATGGATACATGAACCTGGTTTATGAGTGAATTTCGATTCCCACTTAAAAATAATCTCGCAGACCATAGAATCTAAAAGCCACATGAAATTCCGCTTGAAAGTGTGTCAATGGAACTGACCTTATTATAATGGACAACCTCTATCAATAAAGGTCAAAAGTCAAATGTGTGTGCATGAAAGCAATTTGTTTCCAAAAAGCATAAAATTGGCCTAAACAAAAGAAATGAACAAGACAGTGGGTAAAAAGTAGAAAAGTAGTGTTTATACAGCATTTTTTAAAAACAATATATTTGAATGTTATTGTATAGTCCAATCGATTTTATTCGTTGAAAATAAGTAAATATGCAAAGCAGTTTTCTCAGTCAGTATTCATGGATGCAGAACCCATTCTCATTGCTATGGGTGGGAAAAAGAAAAGAAGTAAAATCAAATTATTGATTTCAAAGTGTATCTTTGTCATGTGTTGAATGAAATCAGTTGAACTGTATAAAAACAGCAACCTGAGAAGACTTGCTGGAAAGCTATTTCGTTTGTAGTGATGAGCCCCCCAGCAGTGTGCACCAAAGACCTCGTGAGAGAGCAAGCCCTCGCGAATACATTGCAACTCAACCACTGGGCTAGAAAGACGATGAAGGCTCCATGACTAAACAACTCAGCTCAGAGAACGCAATACAACCAAGAAGTGAATGAATATTCACATCACTACTCAAAGTGCTTCTTGGCAAGTATAAAAGTCAGTCAACCTGTTCGAATGCTTCCTGCATTCTGATCACTACAAGCGTAATTAGTTTTAACTAGTTACGTCTTTTAAAATTAGTTTCATAAGCTCCATCGTTTTTTATACACATTGAATCTCTTCACACTTTTTTGCATGATATTTTCCATGGTTTCAGCACATTCGTGAGGGGACTTTCTTCAGCATTAGTTTCTTGTTCATTTTTAAACTCATTGATAAATTTATTTGAAAGGGAAACTGTGAAGCTCCTTCAAATGGGCGAACATTGCATCGCCTATCATCGTGGTCAGAGATTTCATCTTATAGGAGTGGGTTATATATGTTGTTCTATCATCCAGACGCGAAAGGCGTTTTCGAAAATAGGTGGCTGGGTATTACCATCCGCTTTGTGGTAATAGACATTTTGGAAGCAATCAGTCAGATGACCCTTGCCATATTTTTTGACCTGAAGGTGGCATTTGACTAATTCTGCCGTGAGGTGTTGTGGCAGTGTCTAACTATGAAGGAGGTACCAAGTATGTATTGGTCATTAAAGCTCGCTACTCGAACCCACGTACCCATGTAAGGGCTAATGGAGAGTTTTCATGTGAGTTGATGACAGCCAGTGGCGTCCACCAGAGATGCTCACTGTCACCGTTCCTACTTAATGGTCCATTAGTAAGTAGACATAACTTTAGGTATGTCTGACTTCACAGGGATTGATCTACTCCCTGGAGACAATCTGGTCGACTTGGAATATGCAGACGATATTGTCCCCATCGGTGAATATGCTGATACGTTGGACAGAAATCTTATTATGTTTGACATGCATTTCGTTGCCCTCTGTCATATGTAAGATGATGCTTCAGAACTGGTCTGCTGCAAGTACTTCCAGTTTTTTATAGGGAGTGAGGTGGTGGGATGTGTCGATCATCTCACTTCATTGGGGAGTTGCATCAGCTTAAGCTGGCTGATTGTTGATAGATTCCTCACTCGGACACCGGAGGCATGTTTGGCATTTTCAACTAGCATCAGCTTTGGTGCCGATTGCTGAGATACCCGACTACCTATTACAGGACGAGTATACTGTGCTGCAGTCCGTTCTGTCCTGTCATACGGTTGTGAGACATAGCTGTCGAAAGTAGAAGAAATGAGGCGATTACGAGACTTCTATCACAAGTTTCTTCGTAACATCGCTGGTGTATGATGGAATCGCTGTGTGAGCAATGTTAACGTCGGGCGAAGGGTACTAGGCAAGATAGGCCAGCCGGCTGTTGGAGTTGTGAACTTCAGTCAACTGAAATGTCTTGGACATGTACTGCTCATGCCCAACCCCTGCCTACCTCGGCATGTTATTGCTGGGGGAGGTATGATTAAGTTTGAAGAGGGTTCAGGGTGGCGAGACCAAGAGATGACACCAGTCAATGTAGTCCCAGACAGTAGGTCAGAGCCGTGTTGGGAAATGTAAACTGCCTCATCGGAGTCCTTTGGATGATATGAATCAGTGATGGAGAAACCTTCGTGACACCGCTGAAAGTCTATCATATTGGTGCACATGTATTCACTCTTTGACATCTAAAGCTTGAATGTGTTGACTAAGCTTAATTTTTAAATACCGTCTCCTCCCACATACCTTTGTCTACTTTGATATCAATCTTTTATATCCACTTGTTCCTCGCATGCTACTACGAAGGTTGGCAACTTGAACCGTTGCACTTGTATGGGAGGCTTTACGTTGATGTTTTCTGTCTGTGTCTTCATGGGGTTTCTTTTGACTGGATTTCATGCACTAATAAATAAATCTTTCTCTAAAATATTGTTCACTATTCATGAAGTGATACTCGGTATTTCACGCTATGTCGACTGCACTGTTTTCACATCCAAGTGGAACGGTCAGATCATTATTACAGCATAATTTCAAAACGCGGCGAATATTTAAATCGCACTTTTGGACTGAAAAATTTCAAAATATGTAAATGAATAAACTTTAAACCTGTAATAGATATTTAAAAACCCATTATTTGGCTAAAATAGAAATCAATCATTCATTGAACCTGCTTACAATATCTAAATCTATATTTTAAGTAAATTTATAATGCGAAGAAACTGACAAAATGTCTCAGAATCAACTTATTTGAAGACCACGTTTGACACTGATCAAGATGGTAATAATCTTGGGTATAACCTTGTAGTGAAATCCAGGAAGCACTTTTCGTCCTTTTTGGAACTCGTCAGCTGGACGTACTTGCTGTCCCACAGTGAGTGATGTTTTTCCCCCTAACACTCGAACCTGGAACCTATCGCTTCAAACGCTAGAGCCGTATCCACTCAGTTATCGAGTCGTAATAAGCTAAGATGGTTTCCGTCCTCTCACTTAATTTTAAGAAGGCAGTTAATCAATTTCATTATATTCCCTTCAGTGAAAATCAACCACTGAAAATAATGCATGTTAACGAGAAAAAATTTTTGGGCTGTCAAGCTAACCAATGAGATCCAAGGCAGATCCCCTCTTCAACTCATAGTATGAAATGGTGGTCACTGGTCACTAGAGTATGTTTATTGTATAGTAAATGATTGACTGACAAAATCATCGTAGAACCTCTCACACAAGTGTATCGATGCAAGTTGCTTCATATTAGTACTCGAAGAACAAATGAATAGAAAAAGACTGAAATCAAGATAGACAATGGTGAACAAGAGAAGAAACCATCTGCAGATGGAGATTAATGCAAAAACTTAAGCTTCAGAAGATGTCAAGGGAGGAATCCATCCACACCATGGTGGCTAATTTCTAGACATCTCCTCAACCACTGATTCCTGTCGTCTAAAGGAGCTCAGTCCAGCAGCCGGCCCCTCCCTACACGACTTGGATTAATAGTCAGAGACTTTATCGACTGGTGCCACGTCTTGGTTTGGTCACGCTGAGCCCTCTTCAGGATGACTAGGCCATTATTTCTGATAGCAGTGATAAAAGTGAACTATCCATTAAACAATCACTCACCTTGCTTTAAAACATCCATCCACAATCTTGTCAACTCTGGTGATGGTGCCATTAAAAAATAAGTATGTAAAGTAGTTTCTAAGCAAAAGAATGTTTCAGTTTTTTCTGTACAGTTTATTTGTTCAACGTCACTTCTGTCTGTCTCACTTGTCGTTATTGTTGTTACCGCTGTAGCTGTTGTTGTTGATGATAATGTTAATGATTGCTGTCTCCGATGATTGTGATTGTTATCCGTCATAATTTTAAAACTGTCTTGACTTTCACTATTACCTTTTTCGTCATTTTTGTTGTTGTTGTCGGTACTCACCAAAGAATAAAGAGTTCTTTGGGAAATTCTAGGCGATAATGAAAAGGATTTTTGACTATCTAATAGTTGTTCTGTACTCCTTTGATGGACAACTTTGATAATTGAAAAGTTTATAGTACCTAAATGGAGTAGAAAATATTCAGAAGAAGAATAGTGTGATGATTATACTTAAGCAGTTGCATCTTATGAATGCTAAATGTTTGGTAGCGATCAGCTGGTTTGAGTTTAAAACAGGACCAAGCCCACTACTAGACACCAAGTAGATCAAAGTATTCTATGTGCCATTGAAGTTGATAAGGTTTTAGCTAGGAAGAAGTAATTACGTAGATTCTTATACACATTTCAAAGTTTAATCTGTGAAGTGCTCAATAGTTGGGTTTCACTCTTCTGATTTATCTAATTCTTTGAAATGTGTTGATTATAGCCACTGAATTGAGTCAGTCGCATGCGATATTGAACATAACACTTATCTTTGCAAAAATCCTGCAATTCTAAGAAGATCAGTGGATAGTAGTTTCCGATGCTGAAAATGGCTGATTATTGTGGTTCCACGCATCCAAAGGCAGTGTCATATTGAAGCGGAGTAGAAAACTGGAAATACAATCAGCTACCACGTACACATCAGTGTTGTAGGGAATGAGCCACACTTACTGTGTGACGAATAATAGTGCTATCAGCGTGCACAAACTTCGGTAGATGAAGCAGAATTTGAACCTGTGATCCATCGGTCGGAAGTCCAATGCATAGACCATTTAACCACAGTTCGTTTATCATGTTGATGATAAAGAGATTTGAAACAATTAGTCCCTTTAATAAATTTCGATAACGCTATGAGAAGACGAAGATTATCTGAAAAATGTGACGTATTTGCGCAATACATTTCGAACAATTTGATCACATATTTACTTGTCAAGTCAATTTATATATGAAAATTAAAGGTCAAATATAGTGAATATGAAAAGATTGTGACACTACTCTTGGTAATATAATCAGATTGCCAAGGATTACCAAGGTAAATTAAGTGAAACAACAAACTGTTTTTGTACACACAGCGGGGGATTAAGTTTACGAATGGCTAACGCTTCGGCAAACTTCAGTATGCGCCCCTGATTATTCCTGTATATTATCTTAAACGCTGTTTTCGTATTAACCCTGTGATTCATTTCAATAATATGTTTTGCTATAGATGACGATGGATGTCTGTCACCTGCACTTATCAAAGTTTGTGTGTTAAACTGTTTTTCTAGCCACTTGGGGATGTGTTCACCCACCCTATTATGATCTATTTACTTAACTTGTAGACTACTGTTTTCAGTGTTATTTCATTCCCATGGTGAAAACAAAAGGTCTGCTTGCACTGATCCATCACCTCTTACCCTACAAAACTCTTCTGAATCAAATAGCTGGAATAGTGGACATTTTTAGAAGAGTTGTCCATGGCATATCTTAACATTGTGAAATTATCACAAGTAAATTACCATTCTCAGTTAAGTTTATCTGTTGGATAAATCAAGAAAACTTCATCTTTTGGCATGTAAAAAGTCTCAAAATACCAATCTCTTGTATATATATTGGTCAGTGATAATATCTACTAAACATTAGTGCTATGCTGTCGGAGGCCTTTCCAAGTCCTACATCCTTGTGGTCAGTTAACCACCTGTACTCATCATCCGGTGTTTCCTTTTAGTTGGTGACCTTCGACAGGTGTTTATATTGCAGAGATACTACGATACACTTCATCATTTGTTCTTCGTTGAAATCTTGATTCTATTGACAAAATCTTAAGGAAACCAAAGTATTGTTTATTACGGACTGAACCCTTGAAAACCTAGGAGCACTGGAGAACTGTTTCTTCTTGGTTTGATATCTGTTGCAAACCAGTAAAAACCTGGAAGCACTAGACAGCTGCTTCGTCTCAGTAGGAAACTCCTCATCAGTATGCCGCGAATCCTAAAGGTCCTGATTTAGATACTTATTTGGGTCTTGGGTATGTTTTGCTGAGGAGTATTATACTAATGGTGGGGAAGATTTGTAGCTCAGGTGGGTGGCCTTGGTTACATTGTGTTCTCTGATCTGGAGCTTTTGTCGTCTTTCTGAACGAAATCACCAGCACTAACTTCAGTATGAAGTGAGCTGTGATTAAACCAAAAATTTGGATTCGCTGTGTAGACGATACTTTTGTCGTCATTAAAAAGGATGATATGGAAAACACAGTTTGATTAACAACGTTTTCAGTGACATCAAATTCACAATGGAGAAAGAGTCAAACAACCAACTACCATTCCTGGATGTTTTAGTCAGTAGGATAAATGCCGGAAAGCTGAAAACCCAAGTGTACAGGAAGTCAACACACACAGATCAAATCCTCAACTAGTGTAGCAACAACCCAACAACACACAAAATTAGTTGCGTGCAGACTGTATTCAAAAGAGCGAGAACACACTGCACTGCAGTACAACAACTTGACAGGGAAACGAAGAAAATTACTTGATGTCCATCCCAAAGAAGAACGGCTGCCCACGAATCTTTATCAGAAGACGCCTATCCCATACGTCATCAACTACAAAGTCATCGAGAGAAATCAGTAAACGCATCATCTTACCATACATAAACAGTATATCCGAAATCATGGCAAGAAAAGTGAGAGCATTTGGAATTAGTGTGGTGCATAAACCAACAAATTCTCTCCAAACACTATTATGCAAACCAAAAGATACAACAGCCAAAGACAAACCGAACATCATTTACAAAATCAACTGCAATAACTGTAGTCAGCACTACATTGGACAAAGTGGTCACCCTCTTCGCCTCCGCCTACGTGAACACCAATCGACTGTTAAACGTCATGTCGTTTCATCACTCATTTCAATGCACGTGGATTACAACTATGGACATGAATTCAGTTTTGACAGTGTAGAAATCTTGGATGGAGAGTGGGAACGCAAAGAATATCAGAGAATTCTTAGAAGGTTGGTATTCAGGTCAGTCAGTCAGTAATCAATAGATGTATGGACGTAGATCTAATCTGTCAACGAATGAGAAAAATGATAAAGAACAGAAAGGTCAGAGAAACAGCCAACACGAAAATCCATTCAGTCAATGACATAACAAACAAAGGGAACAACCAGTCACGAACCAGTTGGTCAGGGCAAGCTATTAAATCACTAACGGAGAAATATTGACAGCTCACTTCATACTGAAGTTAGTGCTGATGATGTCGTCTAGCAAGAAAGCCCCGTGATTAAACAACCCAGCTCAGAGAACGTAATACAACGAAGAGTCCCATACTAAGATAGAACAGTTCTCTCTTGCTCCCAGGTTTTCAATGATTCTCCAGCTGATGTCAGTCCGTGATTCATACTCCTAAAAAAAAAGAAATTTTGTTACTCATATTTGCTACAAGAAATAGATGTGGTTATTTACCATTTGGTGTTTCTCATACTTGCAACTGGTAAAATGAGATTATTTCTAAAATGTTAGGTAATATATATATCCTTGAGATCAAAATATCTATTCAAACCTTACAATCAATTCTGCCATTGCCTTTTCTTTCACAGATAAAAATCTTTTGTTCTAGCATGTCACATGACAGCCATTTACGACACCATCTGGCTTGGCTTGTACTACGTATTATTATTCGTTTATTGATTTTTTCATTCTCACCATTTGTTGACTGAGTAGACGATGAATCATGTACTCGACGTTTAATTGATTCCCAGATATTATTCCTAGTACGACTTGGTTTCTTCATTATCCACAAATAACCACCACATATTCTGCCGGTCAAAATGATTTTGCACTGAAAATAATCTAAGGATTCCTCCGCTGGCAGAGGTTTCTGTGCTCGGGAAGTTCTTAATGTGATCCAGTTGCCGAGTATACTTGTAAGACATATTCCACTGTTTGATTGGGGTAATGCAGTTGTGTCAGACGTTTTCACGGCTAAATCATCCACCGGATGGTGAAGAGTTTTTAAAAATTCCCTCAAATTAAATGCATACTCTGATTTCTGTTTAATATAACGCTTGGCTTTCACCTAGAAATAAAAGACAATTACATTTTTAAGTCATCTTAGGTCGTACTGATACTGTTTATCAGTAGTATATTTCAATATACGAAAAACACGTTTCAAAATTTGTCAGGTAACAGCTAAAACCTGTTAGCAGTGGACAGCTGTGATACATACGTTTGTGAATCATCACTAGTGCGCATCCGTAATTCCATAAAGGCTGAGGCCAAGATAGTGAGCTCTCCTACCCAGCCTGCTACTATGCAGTCAGTGAACTGGAATTGGATGGTCCTTTCTTCACCCTACTTCTATTACTTCCCTACATATAACTCGGTTCTTTTCCAGTGACATCAATGTCAATCCGCGATGTAAACTACTTTGAAATCATTACTGTTCGCTTGTTATTATAACTTCTTTTAGTATGATTATTACTGTCAATATTATGATTTTATCCTCTTCGTCACGATTCGGTTTGATTATTATACTTCTGATAGCGTAACTTATTTTAAATGGTGGAATTAGTCAGCGAAAAGTGCTACTTACTTGACCTAGGTTTCGTACTTGTTGGCATTTGTCAACAAGGTTTATCTTTTAACATAAGGAAGCCGTCTTTATCTTGTTGTTTTGAACTTGAATCGCTTAGTGTTCCAATAAGGAAACTTAACCACTAAGCTGATCAGACCACGACTGACCAATCGTAAAATTTGATAACGTACATGAATTCGGTCACCAGTAGTTTGGAGATATAGGTAGCCATCTGATCCTCAGTGCTTAGAATTGATTGAAATCTATCGATCTGGCATTGGATGGAGGTCGCGCTGTATCATGAATTGGTAAAAGTAGGAAATGTGAACCACTGGATTCTGACTCAGTGGCAACGTTCTGGAAGTGGAGCCTGAAGGTTCAGGTTTCAATGCCTGGAGGGCGGGATCATGGGTGTGCGCTGCTAAGGAGTTCCATATTAGGATAAAACTACTATCTAGTGCTCCCAGGTTTCCAATGCTTCTCCAAATGGTATCAGTCCAACCTGGAATCAATCAGTCAATAAATTCCCACAAACCTGAAAATTGGCAAGATTTGTTGTTGCACATCATCTGTTCTTTCTTTGCTTTCATCTTATACAAATAGGCAATACATTTGATTAGGGCTTGGTAAAACATGAATTATTCACTGTTTACAGCTTTGTGATTACTTTGCAAGAAGGTCGGCTTTTGTTTCTGAAAATCATATTTTGCTTTCTCTCCCTATAGAATCGATATACAGATGTATAACTTCTCCTTCTTCTTTCGATTCATGAAGATTAATACTGATATTGTTTTAGGCAGTATTAGTCAGTGAAAAGAATCTATGAGATAAATATGAATTCATATTAATTTCTCTTCACTTGTTGTTTTAGCAAATAATAGTATATTGTACTGAATATGAATGAGAAAATGCCTCAAAGAGAAAAATATACGTAGAATAACAACAGTCAAATAAGTATACAAACAGGCTAACTGTTTTACCTGATTAATTTCATTTTAATTCTTCATTTTCTCTATTGAACCAAATGATTTTCTACATTGGATGAAATTCAATTTACTACTGCTACCTTTCTCTTCGTCTTTGCGTAAGTCATTCAGTGAAGTTGATGATCCACTGATTAGAGGTATTTGATGATTCAATGTGGCGGTTTGTTTTATTAATTGACTTGTTTTATTATTATTTTTGTTACTCGTAGGACTTATTGTTGTTGTTGTGCTTGTTATTTTGTGAGGGAATTTTCTTTTATTCAATAGTATCTCACCACTAGCATCATCATCATCGTGATTAATATTCACATAATATGGTGGTGGTAAAGGTCGTTGTTTCGAGTCGGTCAACTTTCGATTTAAAGACTACCCCCGCCGTTCATACGCATACAAATAAATGCAGGTAGACATGGAAAAGATGGAATAAGAAATCAAATGAATTTTGTTATTATTAGCGTGCATTAACTACTAAGGCTGATAGATAACAGTTGTATGGCTTTCTTGATGTTGTAGCTTGTAAATCTCCGTTTTTGATTAAACCGAAATGATCGACTACTATTAGCATATAGGCTCCAATGTATGGATGCCTCAACATTGACGATTATTTCACTTTGATAGTAATGACATATAGTGGCTAACAGTGGAATCCAGGATGTGTGTTTCATTCTAGTTGGGACTGAGTCGTCAGCTGGATGTACTTATCTCCCACTGAGCGATATTGTTCCCACTAAAACTCGAACCGAGGACCGATCGCTTCAAACACCAGAGCGTTATCATTGGCCTCATGGATAACGCTCTAGAGTTTGAAGCAATAGGTTTTAGGTTCGACTCCCAATGGGAACGACATCACTCACTGGAAGGCAGATACGTCAAGCTGACGTGTCGATCCCAAATAGGATGAAACGCACATACTCGATCCCACTGCTAGCCTCTATCCTTCATTACTATTTAACTGAAATACTCGATAATGTCAAGGCATCCACACATAGGAACCCATATGCCGATAGTGATAGATCAATTTAGTCCAATTAGAGAAGAGAAGCTTATTTTATCTGCATGTAGTCAACCTATTGAGCAAATTCCATTGTAAAACATGGGAAATATGATGAATTACGCATTGAGAATTTGTATTGAAGAGTTTACCATGGTTATTATGATTATGGCAAGGAGAATATTGGCTACCTGTTTTCCTGAGGGTTCGATGATGAATTTAGAGTAAAATAGCTGTTGTTTCTCACCTCCTTCCTAGATTGAAGTTATCCTGTGGTTGGTAATGTTTCATGATAGAAGTTTCTTTCAGTCACAAAGTAACAAACAATGAAGTGTTCAATCGTATTATAATCAAAACATAGGACTATTTGTATATTTTTTTCGTTACGATGATGAAGTATCCTATGATTGTTCTACTTACTTTAGCCAAACTTGGCATAATGGTATTAGTTACTCAGTATCTTTTCTTTGGGTGTCGATTGTCTTACTGTTATAGCTTTTTGAAAACTTTATCACACTTTATCACTCCTGTTGATCTGGCTGGCTAGCGAGCAAGCCTCATTGATATGAGTGATCGAGAGCTGCTTATGTCGGTCGGTAATATATTTGGTACATTAATTGTTTTCATCCTTATCAAAACTCATCATTCTAAAGAAGCAACTATGTCCAGGTAATAACCGCACAATCTTGAAAATTCAGCATCATTATTTGTACGTAATATTATTATATGTCCCTTGGGTTCCCAGTGGAACATAGAGCACATCTCCAGTGCACTCTTTTCTCTGCAAACTTTTGAACCTAACTCCACAACGGCCCAGAAGATCTCATTTCTTCCTCGCACGATCTCCTCCATGTCACCCTCGGACGCTCAACTCAACGTTTCCCCTCTAGATTCCACTCGAACAACTGGCCTGGCGCGTGATATCCCCAATCGGCTTTCTCAGTGCATGCCCAATCCATCTCCACTTCCTTCCAGTGCACATTTGTTGGGCGATGGGTTCTTGCTTCGTTGGTTCGTTGCCACGCCAGAGTTCCTTGTTGCTTATTCTTTCTGGCCATCTGATCTTCAGTAACGAGCCAGCGAAGACAGTTGTTGATGAATGCCTGAAGTTTACTGGAAATGCTTTTCGTAATGCGCCAAGTTTCTGAACCATATATTAGCACTGACCTGACTGACTTAGTGTTGAAAATCTGGATCCTGTTAACACTTTGTGTTGAGTGCAGTACATCTCCACACTGATTTCAGGTTAATGAAAGCCCGTTTTCTTGCCTTTCCAGTCCTGGCTTTCACGTCCTCGTCTGTGCCGCCTGTAGTTGAAACGATGCTGCCTAGGTAGGTGAAAGAGGCCACTTCCTTTAGGTTTCTCTCGTTGATAGTGATTGATGTTTGCTGTTGCTGGTCGTGTTGGTTGGGTATCTTCATCACCTCTGTCTTCTCTACGTTCACTTGAAGTCCTCTCTTCGCTGCCTCTTCTACCATCATGCTAGTTTTCTCCTGTACATCTTCGAGTTTGTGCGATATAAGGCATCAGACATAAATCATCATCAGCGAAATCCAAGTCTTGTAGGTTCTTTTCCGCAGTCCAGCCAACGTATTCCCTCTTCTCGCTCCCCACTATTTGATGCATGATCCAGTCCAGTCCAGTCCAGTCGACCACAATCAGCAAGATCATGGGTGATAGTAGACAGCCTTGTCTTACTCCTGTCACTCTTCACTTCAAAGGCATCACTGAGTTTTCCATTGTAAATCACTTGGCATGTAGCATCATATAGCATATAACTGTTGAATGAGATTGATAAATGTTTGTGGTACTCCATGGTGTTGAAGCAGTTTCCAAATTACTTCTCGGTCGACGCTGTACAAGGCTTTTCAAAGTCGATGAAGTTCAGGTAGAGAGTTGACTACCATTCTATACTCTGTTCAACGATGATGCGTAGCGTAGCGTTGCAATTTGATGCGCACATGCTTTGTTCTTCCTGAATCCAGTCAGCCTGTTTCGGTCATAGTTTTGAATCCAGCGCATCCTTTAGTGTCTCCAGGATGATGTGGCTTGTTATTTTGCTTGAGGTGGACAGAAGCATGATTCCGTGCCAGTTCTTGCCAAGACATAGGTCTCCCTTGTTTGGAGGTTTGACAAGGTAGCCCTTCTTCCAATCAATGGGCAGGTACCTTACCTTCCTTCCACACCTTCTGCAATAGTGGTGTGCGCATGACCGCTGTTGTCTCTGCGTCTGTTTTCTGTGCTTCAGGCGGAATTCCATCTGGTTCTACTGCCCTCCTGCCTTTCCGTAACTTTATGGCGTTCAGGGCTTCGACTTTCATCCGAGGGCCTGTGTTCACGGATAGTTCTGTGACTGGGCTGCTGGTAATATTCCTGGACGAGTCGCAGGTGGTGGTGATGGTGGTCGATTCAAGAGTTTTTTGAAGTGGTCAGCCCATCATTTCCTTTCTTTCTCCACTTTGGTAATTAGATTTCCTTCACTTTCTTTCATTAGTTTCATCTGTGTTGATCTCATCCCTCGCGGATAGTAACCTGGTTATTTGATACAATGTTGTCAGTTCTCGCCTACCAACAGTCTGTTCTGCTTCACTTGCAAGTGTATCGTGGAAGTGTCATTTGCCCTTGCGTGCACTCTTCTTCACTTCCTTGTCCAGTGTAGTGTTTTATACGTTGTACTCAGTTCCTCTTCTCGTCGTTCATCCCTGCACTGCACCGATTCATCTTCTGCTTCACCATCTCCCTCTTCCTCCTCTATCAGCTCCCATGTGTCCCTCGAGATCCATTTCTTATCCTCTTTCTTCTTCCTTCCTAACACGATTACGCAGCTTTCTTTCCACATAGCTTTCAAAGGGTTCCAGTGATTTTCCACTCGGGTTTCTTCAGGATGTTTCTCGATATCTCCCATTTTGTTATGTTGGCTGACGTGAAGATGTCGTCTGTAGTTTCGTCATTCAGTTTGTGTTCTGGATGTTGAAATTGAACTGTGGTCTATCACCACCAAGTTGTTTGAAGGCTTTCAACTTGATTTTGAAGGTAGGTTCTATGCATTAGATAGTGAGTGATGTGAACCTACATCTGCTCCCCTTCTTGATCTGATCTTGTGTCTAGCAAGCTAGCTGCGTCTCCACTTTCTCGAGATTGAGATGAAGTTGTTGTGATTTTCAGTGTAGTGTGTCCATCTGATGAATTCCAAAGCATGTCGCTTTGTTGTTTGTTTGTACATAGTGCCTCCATTCACCAAATCGTTGAATGCACAGAATCCTGTAAACAGTTCTCCATTCTAGTTCATCACCTCACCGAGCGCTTCTCGACCCTTGGTTACTTCTCTTCCTGTGTTGTCCTCCCCAAGTTTGGCATTCATGTCGCCCATTAGAATTTTGATGTCGCCAACTGCGGTGTGGTCTTGTCCAGTGTTGATTGCAATTGTCTGTGGAATTCCTTCTTCTTCTCTTCATCTGTATTATTTGTAGGTGCGTAGCGTAGCATTGTATGGTTGTAACTGTCCTTCCTTTCGAGTTGAACCTCGCTGTCATGATCCTGGAGCAGGAGACTGGTTCCCTCTGTATGAAAGCCTTTGATGCTCTTGGGGACATCATGATAGCCACTCCGAAACTCAGTGTGTTCGTGGTTGTCGTCTGGGTAACAATATCGCAGTAGATTACTGACTCTCCAGTTGACAGTTTGGAGAGTCCACTTCCATTCCATCTGCAGACTCCTTGCAGATTGCTAGCACTTCAATGCTATACCTTCTCATCTCCTTTGCGATCTGGACAGCCTTGCTAGTTTGAAACACGGTGCGGACATTCCATGTCCCCACATTTACTTTCGCTTTCATCGTGAGACACATCAGCTGACTGGCTTCGCGAAGGCTTTCACCAACTGGCGTCATTTCATCTCCTCGATTCCAGTGAGGAGTATGTTTGCTTTTACTTTCTATATTTTCTTTATGTTTTGACGTTTTTTTAGCGATTGGATTGGTTTTACGGGGCATGGTTGCTAGCCCTATGCCCAACGTTCCCTCTTTACCCGGGCACAGGACGGACTATTAACTAGTGAACTAGTTAGCCAGGCAAGGTTTGTATGTAATATATGTTGTGGATATTCTGTCAACGAATGTACTGAACAACAGCACATAGAAGGTACAATTTTAAAATTTTATTGAATCTGACATCAAAAAGGATTAAATATTGATGATAATTACAAACAGAAACTACCTTACCTGGAAATCTGAACTTAACTCATCATTGGGGTCAAATGATCGTGACATAAATTTAAACACTTCTTCATCTTCAGCACTGAGATGTTCTTGTGAGTCTATCGATGTTTTTGGATTGATTTGACTTGGTTTCGGCGGAAGAGGTGGTGGTGGATGCGGTAGTTGCTGCACTTGTTGCCTTACAAATGGTGATGATTGTCTAGGCAAAGTTTTGTCACTGCAGGATAACAGTTGTGCTGTTGCTAGTGGACAATTTACAGGGGTTAGAAATCCTGTCATAGAATTGTTTGGAGCATTGGTATTAAAATATCTACGACTAGGTAACTGTGTTTTCGATGTCTCTCGTAAAAGTCGAGTTGTATAATCATCTTCTGGTACCGGGGAAGAGCTGGTATTAGCTAATTCTATGTAGCCATTTTCTGAAGCACGTTGGTGTCTTGCAAGTTGTGTAACCTCTAAAATTCAAAATGACGCATGATAAGCTACATTATTACTTGCTTCTGATTTTTATGAGTAGTTGAAATACATGGTGTAGTAACTGCGGTTGTATTCTATTCCATCTGAAATTGTTTTTAAGGTTGTAGACTTCCTCTTTATTTAACGCCGAAAAGCAAAATAGAATCTTTTGCACTTTTTATTCCTTCCTTATTCATAATACCACATTAACCTCACTTAATTCTTCTTTCGTCCACCACTGTCAAAACATTCAGTCTGTGACAATACTTCCTAACAGATCTTCATTCCAGTTTATGCAGTTAGTTTGGTTACTTTATGTCTCAGTGCGAATATAACTTCGTTGGACGACTCAATGAATATTATCCACCAGAACGAAGTTTTCTACAAGCCTTCACCGCCATTTCTAAGTAGGTAGAAAGTAAAAGGTGGTTCAACCAAGATTTACCACTATCCGAGGGTAGTTGGATTGCTTGAAGCTACCAAAACTGTTTACTGGTCATTTCAGGGTTCGAGAGAACCAGTGGAGACTTTACCACACTGTGTAACTGTTTCGTCCTAGTTTGGGACTCTTCAGCACTGCACACCCGTCACTACACTAGCTACCAAGCTCAGGACAGGAGTAGTAATTCCGGATTTGTGGTCGAATGGTAATGCACTCACCGTTAGATCCGAAAGTCCCAAGTCCAATTCCTCGTGAGTTCATGCCTGTGCACTGGCGAAAAGTACCAGGTTTAAATATCTTTTTATTGCTCCTAGGTTTTCAGTAGTTCTCCAACTGATATTGAAATTCATAATGAAAATTAATTTCTGATTTGTGTACAATTCTTGTCACGGGGTGACTGAAAAACAGACAGCAAGTATCACTCTAGCTTAGAGAATAAATGCAATGTTTTCCGAAGACCATAACCAAGAACATCTGACGTGGGTATTCATACTAGTGAAAAGATGCTGTGGGTCAACAGTGAATGAAGTGTGATGTTGATAAGTCAGTTTGAACTATATCCCCGATGAACACACACGAGGTGATGGACGTTCACCAGAACTATCTCTTAAAAACTTTAGGGAACTTTCGGCAAAATAATCAAATAACTGAACAAAATGCACTGAAGCTCAGCAACCCAGAAGACGAAGCAGCTGAGAACGCTTGTCCAAGTCCTCATACATTTCAAATTCCTTAGACATTGTATTAAATTTAAAATCTCTTTCAATCGCAATGGTTCAGACAAACGATTACTTTTGCAAAGCCTACAACCATATATTCATTTTCCATGTCATTTAGTCATTCTAGTTTCTTCCTCTCTACTTTTTACGATATGCTTTAGTTCTTTAGTCTGAAAATCATCAGCAATAACTGATGTTAATCTCATTTGGTTCTGTGTATCATTACTACTGATTTCCCGATTTTGAGTCATACTAATATGCTAGTCTACATTTAGATTACACATATTACTGGCAAACACCAATTCTACCGGTTAGCATTTGTAAGCCTAACACTGTTGGTCCAGTTTAAAGTCTGTTGGATATACGTGTACACTGTGATCGAATTAGTATAATACTTATCAGCTCACAGTTGAATAACAGATGAAATACGGTAGAATAATGACAGAGGAATATACTGTTAGATTTGGAGGTCTATGTGTATGTGTGTGCGCGAGGTTATGTACTGGGTTTTTATGTCTGTCTGGCGGTTTATGGCGAGTGAGTGGTTTCAGGTAAGTATTCATCATGGACTGACATCATTTGAAAAACCATTAAAAACCGAGAATACTGCACTTTTGTTTCGTTCAAATTTGGGACTTCTCAGCTGAGAGATCAGGAACTGCCAGGACTCATGACGAGTATTTAGTCATTAGCCAGTGAATGGGTTGCATTCTAGTGGTCTACTTCCTTTTTTCATTTCGTAATATGGTGTGATCATCATTCAATGTCATCAGTGAGTCGAACCCAGGGATCATGGTTTCTCACTATGGTTTTATGAAATTCATCTCAAAATGTTTCACTAATGAGCACATGATAGTAATTCAACCGAAGGTTGTTATATGTCTGATGATGATAATGATGATAGCATTTTAGCACAAATAAACAAAACTACTGGATTCCAAACAAGTGGCTGAATGGTTGCACGTTCGTTCTGGTCTTATACCCTCATGGAGGGATGGAGCGGGAGTATCATGCGTAGGCCTTACTGAAGCTTTCCAAACTCGGCTGGAACAGCTGTCCAATGCTCCCCAACTGATATCAGTCCTTGACTAATCCTACTTTGAGCTGAAATATTCGTTTAGTAATGTTTCTCTGTTGTCACATGCTTCTATATTGGTCCCCAATACCAATGAAAAGTACACAAATACAATTTCAACGGTTACATGCATCACTTACGTGGGATTCTTTGGGAATGTGTTCCTGTACACCATGTTGATGAATTCGTACGAATAGGTGTCGGTAATTTTTGCCTTTCATTATTGGCAGTTGGTGTACCCTTTTTTAGTAAAGCACTGAATTCACTAGTTATGATGCTACTGTCAGTATTGTTATTAGTGCTATTAATGGTAGTAGTACTATTAGAATTGAGGTAGTTAAATGAAGTTTCATTGAGTTTACGCGTAGCGCTAGTCAATTTAATGTCTTTCAACTGAGGAGAGTCTAACAGATATTGAACACTTGAACCGTTTGTTCGTTCAATTGTACTAGATTTCTGCCAAGCTTGAAAATACAAACAGTAAAAGTGAAATAAAAATAAACATAAGTATACATGAAGAATTTACCACTTAAACAATTCACTTGAATCGATTGTACAAAGCTGAATAAGTATCTAGACTTCACCAGAGTTGGTAAAACAAAAAACGAATCTAAAGCCCAACCTTAACTACAAGTAAAATAACCAATCAGACTTCTTCATTTTATGAAAATATGCCTTTTCAGCCGAAGCAGAGAAACATAATTGGCTATTTGAGTTGGTGCTAGAATAGCCTTCAAGGTCACTTTCAAGAAGAAGATAAGTTTATGCAGTTGTTGTTTATTGGTTATTGTAATTTCTCGTTGTTATTCTGGGTTACGTTGCTCGACCTAATGGGTAATGCTTCGATATTTGAAGCGGTAGGTTCTGAGTCTGAGTCCCACTGGGAACAGTGTCACTCATTAGGGTGCAGTTAAATCCAGCCGATGAGAACTAAATAGGAAGAAACGTGCGTCCTGGATTCCACTGCTAGCCACCAAGACGACTACAGCTTTATACAGTGTATTGTGCCTTTTGAAGTTGTACTGCCGTTTTGTTGGTGGCTTTAGGTATTGTAACTTCTACTGGTATGTTTTTATCACGTGATTAGTCACGTATAGCAGTATCACATTAATCAATCAATTATTCTCCCCTAACCTCTGTTTAACAGAAGGTAAGACTGGTATCCTCAGCGTCCTTGAAATTTGTGATCTGAGTCATCTATTCTCACTTTGGCTGATGTTAAGATGGTTGGAGGTGGTCAGCAGAAGGTTCTACTCGACCTACCTTTCGAGCTTGTTGGCAAGGTATACTGTGTAGTGGAGTGATATACGCCGCTTAAGAGTTTCAAATTATTAAGCGATACTTGTTCAACACTACCGTTTCCCGTGATCTCGACTCGTGATGAGAACCGCATTGAAATGAATCGATTCTCCATTGATAGACAGAAAAAATAAACTGTGAACCCCACAAACAAGTGGACAGGTTCACGTTACCACATTTTACAACAGTATACAGAGAACAATTGAATGAAAAAAGACTAATGTCGGATGCGTAAAAGGTGGATGGAAGGAGAAGAAATTTGAAAGTTAAGGTAAACCAAAGCACTCAAGCTTTAGAAGACGTCAGAGAGTGAATACATATGCTCCACTGTGACCCATTCTCAGCCATTTCAAGGAGAGTTCTCAACTACTGATTCCTATCGTCTTGGGGATCCTTTCCAATTGATCTCTAAATCTAATACTACAGATTATCTGTTTATCACACGGAAACTGTGAAATTTCAGTCATACGTCCCACTAAGTAGTTCTTTAAGATTTACTTAGATTTCGACTAGTCAGTAAAACCCGAATATCATTTTAGGTGGCGTCTAGTGGTGACTTGTTTCGTTTGGAAGCACATATTATTGATCATTATTACTATTATTACTGTTGTTGTTACAAAATGTTACTTACCTGTTTGCTTGTTCTTTGTTGAATATGCACGGATTAAAATATCGTCCTCCAAACTGCGAATAAATCGAGATTGGAATGTACTGCTACCAATACCATCATCACCAGCGGCACCACCGGAACCTTCACTGTGAACCACCGGATTTGCATAACTACTCATATGTTTTGAATTTCGAAGGGTCTTTGACTCAACCAGTGAACTTGATATGGCTTGTTTGTTGTAAAATGCAGAATTATCTGTTAATTCATGGAACATCGACGTATTTTGTTCAGTTGGATTACCAGAGTATGAAAGCTTCCGTGGTTTATTCAGCAAAACATCTTGTTGTAGTTTCGAATTCGAGTTCAACTGAAACAGGGTTGAGGAAATGACAACTGTTTGTTTATAAAATTAGTACCAAAGTAATGACGTCTGCCAATGTCGTCACTAGTGGTAGAGAAAAACTCTGGTCAAGTCATTAGCATAATAAAAAAATGTTAGGGAAAAAGAGCCATTCGCAATGTTTTCTTAGTTTTTGAAGAATGTTTTCAGAAAAATGCCTAATAATATCAAAAGAAGCAAACATTGCCTGGATACTTTTCCCGTCTGGCCTACAGACAAAGGCTATTTTCAAAAAAATAACATCTTTATTCAGCTAGTTACATGTATGTGTAGAAAGCTGATGGCAGTACTTAATATTAAGGATGTGTAGTGGCTGCCAGTGGACCCCAGGATATGCGTATCCTTCTATTTGGGACTGACTCGTCAGCCAGACATATCCGCTTCCACTAGGACTCAAACCCAGAAACTATCGCTTTAAACGCCAGGACACTATCCACTAGGCCACCAGGTCACGATAGCCACTGCGTGTGGGACAGGTATAATTTTGATATTGCTGCTTGTAATTTCCCTGCATTGATTCCACCAAACCGATTAGTTAATGTTGGTGCATGGACTGCATCGCGGATGTCTCAGGATTACCTGTCGTTTCGATTTTGATAATATCGACTGAGACACATGTGTTGCTGAGCATCTACGTTCATAGTTGAGAAGGGGAAAATAAAGTCTGCAAGAAGCTGTGTCTTATATCTTCTGGTTAGTAGTAGTCACTGAGTAGATAAGAAAAATGTTTTCACAGTTACCACCTAACCTTTCTAATGGTATCAGAACTCGTCTTTTACACATGGCGAAAGCTATGGAAATTCGAGCCAATAATCCTAGTTTTTGTATGCAGGTAGCAGTTTGTACATCCTTTATCCATTCTGTGGCCAGAAGAGGCTTAATTAACAGCTTCACCATTGAGACCTTTTTGTCCTTTTTTCATTATTTCCCCATTTCATATACCTATTATATTTTTAAGATAGTATCCATCAGTCGGAGAACCACTGAAAACCTAGAAACACCGGAAAATTGTTTCATCCCAGTATGGTATTCCTCTAGAGCACCCCGCCACGCAAGGAATCGAACTCATTACCTTAAGGTTTCGCAGGGATCACGTTAACCATTCAACCACTGGGTCGAAGTTCAACGGTCCACGGTTTTCAACCACTGTCGATGCGTGGAATAGAGCTACCATCCATTAAGGTCTTCAGTTGGCATCCGGTTCACGTTTTACTGCTTGACATCACAGGTCTCAGCTTCTCATTGCACCTCGCTTATCCACTGACCTTATCCTTTATTACTACACAACTATTATTTTTTTCAAGCTTCTGACCCACTTTGATCATCGAAGTATCTTCATCCTCACGTTATTTTCTTGGTTTTCATCATCATTATCATTTTCATCTGTACGACGAATGTTTTAGTCAACACTATCATTATGACTTTCCGCATTATTATTATTGTTACTATTATTATTACCGTTGTTATTGCTATCTGTATACTCTTAAACAGTTATCACTGACCGATAAATCTAAATGATTTGTTTAATTAATTTTAGTTTCATGGGGATTTTATCATTAAGGCAATATTGCTCACGGACTGACGTCATTCGGAGGACCATTAGACAGCCGCTTTATCCTAGTATCGGACTCCTTAGAAGCATGCACCCACGACGATTTACACCTTCAGGTCTCGATATGAACACCTTTATCTATTCAGCCACTGTCACAGTTTGCTTTTAGCTATTCTGTATATAGAATTAAGCCTGAAGAGGATCTATTTGGAAACAATATTCTTAGCCTGTGTATCATGTTCTAAGTTGCATGATAGAATGCTTTAAAATTCTTAAATCACATGTGACATGTACGTGTCACTTATATCAGTGCTGATATTACAAACTTGATCAACAAACTTTAGACGTTGCTGAGAACTCATGACTTGACAGCTGTACCTGTCACCATTCAGCGACCAATTCATGTTATATAAGATTATTATTATTGTTGCGCAAGTTGAGTTGTATTAATTATCGATACAATATTTTTCTTTTGAGAAACGTTTCATCATTTACCAGCATTAATCGCTTTGCTAGCGATGTGACTGAGGCATCAGCTGTAGCTAACCGCTGTCTTTGAATCATCAAATGTTCCAATAGTAGATTTCGTTTAGATTCCTTTTGAAAGAAAAAAAGAAAGTGGAGGTAAGCGAAACAGTGTTGTGAAAAGTGTAGGCACACATCATAAAGTTATTGGTGGAATTTCAAATTCTCGCGTGCGTAACTTTCCAAAGTCATTGGACTTTGTTAGTTGGTTGGAAGCAAACGACAGAAAGGACTGCTCTGTGGCCAGAATAACTCATTGGTAACTTTGGAGACTTACAGCATTGGTTGATGAGGGGCCGAATCTCACAAGGGACATCAATTCCGTTGAGGTTGCAAATAAGTCTTGCTGATATGTGTCAACCGAACAACACCCATCAAAGTGCTCCGCGATAGTGCGCCTCGAAGCTTGATAGCCCCATGCAAAATGATTTGTAAAGTTCTGTTAGCACTCACAGCTAAACAACATGAAGTTGGTTGCTATCCAGTAACCCATCGATGTATTACTAGGCTTTACAATTCAATACTAATTGTGTACTTCGAGGAGTATGGGACCAGGAAAGCTCTACATACATGTCCTTTCAGTATGTAACATCCATATATGCTATTACCGTGCTGTACACCACTTTTCTCTACAAGTAATCTTGTCCAAGTGATGCTCTGATTCCTGGTCTATGATCCCTGTCTGATCACAACTACAATTATATGTTAAAAACTTTTCACTTCTCGCATCTGAGACTACTTACTGATGCTAAATAGTCGTTCTTCTCGGAACCATCAGTACTGATCACTTATTCCTAATAATCACAGCAAACCTTGTTAAGATGAAAGGAAAACAAGTTGAATAACTGTTTTCAGTGGTTAGAATGTGTTAGATGTAGGCAGTTCTTGGGCCGATATTCAAGAGAACTCCCTCTTCCCCCTGCTTATCCTTAGAATAAAGCAGACAAATCATTTAACCTCATCGATATACACTGTAGCTATGATCACAAAAGGGATGGAAATAAGTTTCACTTATGTACATATCCGTCACTTCATCCGACTTACCCGAAGTAAAAAAGCTTTTCCCAGCTAAAATTTCCAAACAGACATCCATAACAGACATGCATAACAGAAATAAGCAGACGCTAGTCAGTACACTGAGTAAAATGAACCGTTGAAATTTCAGTATCTCCGACTAGACGACCAACAACACTACCACCAGGTGAACATGATTAAAAACAGAAAATGAAGACAAAAATTTATTGTCGCAAAAGTTTGATTTTATTTTTTTACAATACTAATTCAATTAAACAGTCCGCAAGGATGAGTGCAGATTAAACCTGAATAACTACAGTATGTGCTTGTGTGTATGTGTTAGCGGGGAGGGGCAGGGTGGTCATTGAAGATGACTAGCCGTTGTAGAGAACATAACTTGTTATACTTTGCTTACACTATATGAAAATGGTAAACACTCTATTGCAGTTTATTTGGTGGTCGGCAGCGAAATCCAGGATCCACGTTCTAACCCATTTGGGACTCACTCATCAGCTGGATGTATCTGCAACACGGGGAGTAACGGTGTTCCCACCGTGACTTAAGCTCAGTCCTCATCGCCCCAAACGCCAAAGCGTTATCCATTAGGCGACTGAGGTACGACAGTCGCCTCTTATGCAAAGCATATCAGTTGTTGCTTATGCGTTCCTACACTGAGTCGAATTCCTCGACCTTGTTATTACTGTCTCTTTCAAATCAAGACTGATGTCTGTAATCTAATTTTCTTTCCGTAATAAAAAATAACATAGCCTCATTTGTACACGCCAATAGCTCTCCTGTTCTGATTACACGTTACCTCTCGGACTATTTATGAATAGTTAGACGCTACATGCAAAAAAATAATGAACTAAATAACTTACCGGTGAATTATTGTTCCCAGGTAGTGCTGTACCGTTTGCACTAGGCAGAGGTAAAGAGTTGAAAGAATGTCCTAGTGAACAATGTTGTTTAGGTTGGTTACTCGACGCTGTGTTATCATTCAGAGATGGTTCTATGTACATGTAGTTATTCTGAGTATAAATATCTTCCGAACTCGTATTATGTTCATTCAGAAAAGGAGTCTTCAGCTAAAATCGTAAATAAAAATAAAGACGATCATCTAAATAATGTTATGTTATTCGTAGGGTCAGTACTGATAGGAAGCGGTCTAAATCCAAATCAAAATTCTAAGCCATCAGCGGCTAAGGTAGAAGTTTTAGATTTCAACCTTGTTTCAGGCAATTGTGTGGGCAGGAAATACATTATTGGATAACTGTCCTATACCTGACCAATCAGAATAAGTGTCTAAATTCCGGCAGAGTGGCTTTAATTTCTAAGGAAAAACTGTATATAAACGACATGTTTTTTGTCAAATAAAGTTGTCCTCCTTGCAGTCACAGACCGGGCCTTGTCTTCTGATTTTTGTGGCTGAGTGAAGTATAAGGTCTGACGGAGAACAGTCACTATTCGTTTCCAGTTCAACTGTCTTATGGTGTTATGAGCGTTTCTAAAATTCCGTATTGTTCTGTCAGTTTATTCCACTTGGTCACTTCAGATATGATCACATGATATGAAAAAAACATCTAAATAACAGAGTTGCTGACTCACTCTTATTATTTCTGTGAGAAACTATGGGCTGAATTCACCTTTAGAGGAGCTTGAATTAATTAAAATCCCGAAACTACTAAATTCATCCATTCTCAGATATACCCTTTGAACGAAACCCACCTAAAGAAACGGTTTACGGAATTGCCACCAGATAGGAAACGTACAATGTAGAGGATGAAGCGTTCTTGTGTACCCTGAACAACAATGTCGTATATTGACGTGGTAATGTTAACTACCTTAAAATGCGAAGTAAACAACGAGGTATTAAAATTACGAAGATCATAGTTGTGTTCGAATCCAATCTATCCTGAATTTTCTTAAATCTGGATCAAAAGAATACCAAGTGATTCATAATTTTAATTTAAACTCTCAGAGAGGTTAGGAGCACGAATCATGTTTCAACTTCGGTCATCAACATCATTAAAAATGTGTGAAAATGTAAACTGAATTTAGTAGTCTGTAAGGAAGTGACTAACTATGAGTACGTTATATCAACAAAACAGTGCAACTCAAATTGCCCCTTGCCGAAAGCTAGTTTATAGGTCAGCTAACAAACTGAAAGCAACTTAAACAGAGTTAGCTGTCCATTGGTTTAAAACACATCTTAATATTCGTAAAACCAGTAAATCGGACAAGTATTTCTCACTAATCGATAGTTTTACAAGATTTATCCTCTAATTTACAAGCGTTTCTTGTGAAGAAAACAATCGGTATCATAAGCCAGTATTCGAAATATGTTTCCATACCTGAAACAGTTTATTTAGGCCATGCGCCAGACGATTTCTACTCTGGCTTATGAGTAGACTAAGTATTATATGATATTATGTAGCTATGGACAGGCTCTGTCTTAGATATATCTGCTAGTAATCTGAGTATAACGAGCGTGTAGCGTAACTCATTCTCAGCATTGAATTTATGATGGAGATAGGTGACTGATGATACTTTTTGTTTTCATAGATTCAGATGTCAAGCAGACAACATAAATGATGAGATCGGCACACCTTTTGTCACTCACATTTAATGCATTGTAAAATCCTTCTTCCAACCATTTGGATGGCTATCTGAATCATTTGATACGAAGAAAATGTAAATAAATGCTCTGGTCACTTCGAACGCTCTTCCAACCTAATCCATCTTCCCCTAGCATTACAGGTTGAGGTAGGAGGTGATCTTGATCTGTGTAGTACGTGTTCAAGCTATCTCAGTCGCTGGAGGTTTACAACTTCATTGATCGGCTTCCCTGCTTTACGTAGTACACTACCCAAACCTCAACATTGCTAACATAGTGATTCCAGCATACGTGAGCAATGCTAGGAAGACAATTATGATCGAAGACCAGTACACGCTTCACATCTACTTATCTATGCATCAGATGAATAAGAACAACAATCAGTCAGTGATTAGTGACCTGAGATTCTTTGTCTTTCGATCGCACGCAATAAAATTCTGACCAAGCCGTCTAAATATTCTAACCGTTGTACATTTTACATGTATTTTATGAAGGCAGATTATTATTCATTGTGGGCTAGTGGGATGCACCTGCCTTCTGTCTCAGTCAAATCAGTTGGTGTGAGGTACGTCATTGGTAGGAAGAATTTTGAAAATCGCAACCCAGTGTGTAATGATAGTGAGTGACTTTAAAGGCCATCCTAACAACTACTGAGATAACCAAATATAGTTAACTATTTTGTAAAAACAAAACTTCGTAGTCGAATTACCTAAACCGGATTGGTTATTTTGGCAGTTGCTAGGGTGTTCTTAGTGTCGTGACAACCAAATTCTTATCTGACCGATGAATAGAATGAAACAAGAATGTTATTGTTTTTACTAAGCCCGAGAAACTAGTGTTAAAATAAATAGTAATAAGTTGAAATACTGACAATTTCAATCTTTGCTACTAGATAGCTGTCTCGTAAAGAAGTGTAGTCCTCTTTTAAAGTATGTAACAGTATAATTCAGCCCAATGGAATATACAACACTTGAATGAATAAAGAGGCTTATTCATCACCGAACAATTTAGCCCAGTCGAACTGCTTTTAAGCATATCCGTAAAACGTGAGAATGTCAGGCGAAGAAGGACCAACGTTTGATATAGTGATTGGCTACTGACGACTAGCCAAGTTCATTTCTCATCCTGAATCTCAAGCGAAATCTATCAATCATTTTGTAATCTGGCCAATATGCTAGGGGAGACTCAACACTGAGGACTAGACAATATGAAATTAATAATGTTTCAGTGACCAATCAAAGTATTCGATCCAGAAAATTCACACAAGAAGCCAATCACGCCAAGAATACCTCAGTAATGTTTCTGACTAGTGTCCTGGGTGATGTGGATTTCTATATCTAAGGCGTTACCTCGAGGTTATAGAAATGCTTTGCTGACGAGTTGCCAACGCTATGGAAAATTTGATCACGCTGGGATACCCATTGGTTACTTCCAACCATATGAAAGAGGCAAAATTTGACGTTGGTATAGAATTCCAGTGATTATTCTTGCTACGGATCGAATCTCAGACTAACATGATGGGACGTATTATTTTTATCAGTTTCGAAAGACTTTTACAGCTTAAAACCTATTTAACCTATTTTGTTCAGCTTGACCGAAGAGCTTTTTACTGATTCATCGCTGACTCCCAAACGACTCAAGTTTCCCAAATAACTGACTGTTTTCTATACATCAGGTTAGTAATTTCATTTGTATGAACTACGGTGCCTTGTGGACACATCCATGAGTTATATACATGCACAACTCAGAGCGCAGATATATGAGGGCAGTGAGCAGTTAGTCTGTGATGTCTATTGTACGTAGAAGAGTGAGGAGAGAAAGACTGTTAGTTAAAGCGCTGAAGATATCATATCATGAGTTAATTTCAACTGATCATTCATTGGCGTGAATAAACAGTAACAGTGCGGTGATTCTTAAGTAGTGAGAAGCATTGAGTTCATAAGACCAACAAATACCGATTGATTTGGTCCAAAACAATCAATGACATGAAATAACAATTCTAGTAACTAACGATACGCTAGTTCACCAGACCACATTAAAAAAACTTTGTGAGTGCTTTTAGTTAGTTTCCCATTGGAGGGTGGTGTCTGTGCTCAGAACGAATTCGATCGATTATTTTGCAGTACTGCCACCAGGCTAGGAGACTGACCATCAAGATGCACTGAGATGGATGTTATTTGAATGGAGACAACTGGCCAAAAGCCTTGCTGGACCTAGGCTTCATGCTTTTTGACACTCGTCGGCAAGACGTATTTGCAACCTCGATGTCACCAAATTAATCCGAACCCTTGTCCACCTTGTGCCGCAATCATTGAGTTATTCAGGCTGCGACCGACCTTCTGTAGAGCCGGTTTAGATACATTGATTGGCTTATAAAGGGTAGCCAACTCCATGTTGTCTAGTCCTCAGTGCTGTTCGAATTCTATCGAATAGTCCTGGAAATCCTTAACTTACACTGGACTTATTTCTCATGTTGGTACCGCATATCTACGCATACCACCTCAAAAGTACCAACGTTGCATTCATTAGTAATCGAACATTGCAAGCTGGAGCTATGATTGAATCCAACGCATTAACTAAGTTACCTTAGTTGATCCTCCTGCTTCCAGAGCGTGTATGTTATGATTGCCATGCTAGTTTTACAAAAAGAGAAACGCGACTTTTCAGTGAAATAATAACTCATATCCCTTTAAAGTAACACTATCATCGTTACAACCAGTATGATATTTTTCATTCAAAAAAACCAGGAGAAAATAAAAATTAAAACTTACAGTGTTTGTTGTATTTTCAATACTTTGCAACCAACTAATATAGTGGTTTTCAAACTCATCATTTGATGGTAACTGTTCCGCTTGACTGAAATCAGTCGAGCTAGTCCCCCAATGTTGTTGCATAGAATTCATCCTGTTGTTGTCATTTAGGTTCTTTGAAATATCCTGAGAGATAAAAGTTGGGTATATGAATTGATAACACCATTTTTAACCATGATCAGTTGTGAAAGTGTCAGTCATTACCAGAAGGTAGACAAAATAAACAAGAGAACAACTGAAGTTTGCTGTACCTGAGTAACTACTAAACGGACCTTAGAGTGGTCAACCAAGTTAAAGGTGGCTGTGCACTCCATTCTGCGAAACTTTGGGTTATTGAAAGGTTATCACTGATTGCTAGATAGACATGCAAGGTTTTTATGCTAATAATTTCAGTTGAATCGTACTATCGTCTCACACTGTTCGCTAATTCGAAAAGGATTTTTTTACCTGCATATCCCACTAAGGACAATACTTTAAGCACAAAGTTCACACTGGGAGATGCTTTAGTATCAGACTGCACACCCTAAAACCTAATCTTAAACTTTATTTCAAGTCCCCAGCCACTTCCATTTATTTCAAATGAATCAGTGGCACTGAAAGCTGACCTACGTACTGTTTACTTGCTGCTTTATGACTTCGTTTTCAAGTTTTCAAATGTGAAATCAAACTAGTATCCAATATCATGAATCTAATGATTTGTTTCAAAATTCTCGAATTCTAATTCCTAAGTCCGCTTGAACGCTAATTTGTGTTCATACTACAGTTGATTTCCATGCAGTTACGTCTACGGATATTTTCATCCACAGTCAAAAGCCTGAAAAATTCCCTAAATACCGTGAAATAAACTAAAATATATTGTAATTCCTCTCAATTCCGTATGAAAACTTAGAAAGAAACAACTATTTTCCTATTGATGCGTACAAGGTCATTTACTAGTCGCTCAAAGACGACAAAATTCTATAGTTTCACCGAGTACACAAACAGGTATTCCGTTTTAGATGCAAACTTGAAAATATTTCATTATCTAAATAAGCCATCCACTGGATAACAATGAAGCCTGCCACTAATACCATTACTACAGGTAGTGTTCTTTTTGTTTGAATATTCTTGAACGATAGTCTTTAAAAATAATAACTGATAGACAGATAGAACATAGATGGAGTTTTCAATAAAGTCCAATCATTCAACTTTCCCAACATTGCAAAAACAGGAAATAAACACAGATTGAAAGTAAGGGAAGGTTTATTTGAGAGGATAGAGAATAAATACATGAAGATGAGAAAAAACACTCGTTCAAAATTCAGACGATTATGAGAAAGTATGTTTTATTGGGAACATTATCACTCATTTGGAGAAAGTAGGTACATCCAGCTGACGAGTACCGAATAGGACGAAGAGCGCATTTTAGATCTCACTGTCAGCCACCACCCACTGATACTTCTTAACAGCATAAATATATCCCCGGGGCATTTGTTGACCCATTGTTAGTAAATCAGAAGTCTTCTTGTCATATTGATTATCATTTAGCTGAATAGTATTGTTAACACACAATGCCACGTTGACAACACAACAAAGTGCAAGTAAATAAGGTGTATATATATCCTTCATGGAAGAATAATGTCGACCTTATAATTGTACTTTAAGTAATTAAGTTGTTTGCATATTTCTCTTTTACATGTGGGTAGGTTTGTTTTCTACAATCACTTTATACTAATTCAATGTATTCTTTTCATTCATGACACCCGCATACTACGTCTTTGAATCGTACTCAAGAGGTTTGTATCAAGAGTAATAGATCAGTCAGTCATGGATGTGTGGGTAAATAAGGTTGTTTTATGAAAATCTTTATTTAATTCACTCATGCGCTAAGTTTCTAATTGATTGAGTATTATACCAAACAAAAACTCATCTAAATTGGTGCATATTGATCACTACTGGACAGGGTCAGCTAACTGGCAATTCATCATCTTCATTCATATGTCTTAAGAAAAACTGGGTTCAGGCGACAGTTTGATTGAGTCCTCGACTCTCAATAATATGGTTAAATCAGATGTCGCGGACGATGAGCAGTCAGAATTGCCAAAGTGGTCTATCTTCCAAAAAATATAAAAAACTGCATTTTCTTGCTTATTCATCCCACCGTATATTGAATTGACTTTGAGCATGAGATTGTATACTGAAAGGTATAAGCTTAGTGTACAACATTTTCAGATGAGTCTGAGTACAACTGAAGAACAGCGTGGATTCAATATTCTCCGCGAAACTTTGACAGTATTCAAATCGAAATACATGTTAATAGAACTTACAGTTTATACTGAGAATGACGTGTAACTTGATATTGTAATATTCTGACGTAATTTCCTTCAGAAACTAAAATAATCTGATCGATACCAAGTATGTTGTCAAGAGAATGAGTTGTGAAACTGCACGATAGAAACCACTAACTGATTGATTGACTGATAACACTCAGAAACTGCTAATATAAGTCAGGCCCAGAGCTCCTCCTCGTTTAAGGACAATGAATGAAGCTGTAGAATGCGTTGACTCTTTCATTTACTTGGGGGCCTGCACCAGCCAGAATAGGCTGGTTTCTGACGAAATCTCAGCTTGGATACAGAAAACCGCTTGGCATTTGCCAACCTACACCATATCCAGTGCCAGCAAGATATCTGAATACCCGTTAAATGAAGAGTATACTTCACTACAGTTCACTCTGCTTGCCCGACTGAGGTCTTGTCATCATTGGTTGACTATAGACCATAAAATATCATTTCTAAGGTTATGTTATTTCAGTCACTCAAACACGTGACTTGGTCATAAAGGGTGTAATTAGAATGCATGATTGGAGACCTCTGATGACGTGGCTGAAAATCGGTCACAATAGAGCAAGTGTATTCACTGTTTGACATCTCCTAACGTTTGAACATCCTCACTGACCTTGACCTTTCTATTCTTTCTCCTTATACTACTTCAATATGACCCATTCCCTAACTCCTCATTCTTTGCGTGCTTCTGTGAAGTGTGGCAACGTGAACCGATGAACTTCTTTGTGGTGTTCTCCATTTTGATTTTGTTTATCTTCCTATTTGCTACTCAGATCAAGATGCTCGTTTTGAATGGACTTATCAGTGTTATCCTCAAAAGGATTTAACTCAGGGAGCATAACCGTTCGAAACACGAAAAATGCATAAGTAGATAGAGCCTACTTTCTTTTACATTTGTAAACTAATCACCACATAAATACTCCAAATATTCACTAAGTAAACGTGCATTATGATGATTACAATCGAAGTAGTATTCCTTTTTCTAAAGACGCCCCAGTGACTACCATGATGTTTAAAATGACAGACTTACAGGTTTACAAGTCTGCACGATGTTCGCACTTCAGAGGGTAAATCCATCCCATAGAGGTTGTAGATATGCCTGATGAGTGCTAACAAGCACAAAGCCTAGATCCAGGGCTTTCTGTCGATTGCCTCCCACCAACTGATATCTACCCAAGAGCACTGCTATGCTGAGCCGCCTAGCTTGGTAGTCACATTACAAAATGATCGACAGAACAGATAACATGAAATTGGTTGCCTTCCAGTGACCGATCAATATGAATTCCAAACTACTTACCTCTTCCTCTCTACATCCTTATTGATTGATGGGTTCAAACTTGTGAATTCAACCATACTATGACTAGCTGAGTTAAACATGATTAGTAGATAGGTAGGTGGCACAAAGAGTCGATGAGTGAAGCTACAAAACTCTAGAATCTCTACATTATTCTTTCAAATGACCACGAGTCTACTGGACTGAAGACCTACCGACAAACCTTCACTATCCAGCTGTTAGTGAGGTCATGATTTGAGTGAATCGACTTAAAATTTACTTACATGTCCCTTTGATAGGATGTGCGATAAGTTATCTAGAAGCCATTTTTTCAAGGGATATCGCGACCTTGAGTTTGTCTCGACTTTAATTTCTACGGTGTTCAGGCTAATATATCACCAAAAAACATGAGGAATCGAAAACCGCTCATAGTGTTTTGATCGGGATATCGAAATCTGCATATCAGCCTGCGTAGTTTCCAACTAGTCACGTTACTCAGAAAGATAGTTCGGTTAATTCGTGACACTTTTGAGTTAGAGATCACACACTGTGATTTTAGCTGAGTGGATAGTGGTTTTCATCGAAAACCCTGTTGACTGGCACTACAGTTGAGTCGTTGAAAAACTGTTCACTTATGAGAAATGTCAACATGAACCATGCAGTTTGTATTTCATTTGCAAATTAATCACCCTGTTTTGACACAGTGCTTGGGTCAGAGGTGTTTTCTAGTAGTTGCACAGCAACTGTCAAACTCAATAGCTTTGATTACCTGTCCATGATGATGGTAGTGGCTACGAAATGCACTTAATCAGTATCATAATCAAAGTTAGTCATAGCGCTAAGTTTATTTTTCCAGGTTCAACAACTCGGCTCATTACCAGTCAGAAGCGAGTTTAACTCCCACTAGCTGGACGTTTCCGTTTAAAATAGCAAAAAAATGAATCCACCCACTGACTAACCTTCAGTGTTTCCAGACTTTAAAAGAGTGCGGTTTTTATTGAAATTACCCTAAGTGTTCGTTTTAAACGTAGGAGCATGATGGCAAAAAATTTATATCATTTTCAATGCAACGATGTTTTTATTGTCGTATTCAATTAAGTTTATCGTATTCCAAACCTAAGAACAGTTCTAAGTTATTTATATGTACTAATTCCTACTTTCATACCTACAGTGTATAAAAACTATCTTAAAAGGCCTTGTTACACAAATAAGTGAATTTAATGGTTATTGATAAAAAGCTGTAGACAAATGGTACAATTCGAATGAGGCTGACGTAAATGGACACGAAAACACTTTGGTCTCAAAGTTTGAATTGTCCACCAAACTGGAGTATTCTAATACCAATATGGTTTTAGTGAAATGTATTCTGAATGCCTTAATGAAGGCTTCCACTGAATATAAAGCACACAAATATATAACACTTCACTTTATAATAAAGGAAAATTGAAGGCATTAAATGTAAGGATTGTTCAACAATTCTCACGATTCTATAAACAATCCTGTAGTGGACCAGATTTCCATTTCTCCTTCAACCATCATCCACTATCAACACAAGTCTGTCAAACTATGAATATCCCAGAAAGTAAAATTGATAATCGACGCCCTGCTCCCTATCTGTAATTCAAGTAGGTTTGGATTAGGGTGAGAAGTCTTGACTTGGCAGCCAGTGTGAGTACAATGAAGCAATAGTAACACATCACGAATTCACATAACAGCCAGGGAAGTGAGATTTTTAATCTGGTCGGCATCCGAGCCTCATAGCTTACTTAGCTGGGTGAGACATTAGGCCGTTAACATTGGTGATTGCTGGTTCAAATCTTGCTGCAGCCCACGTTTTTATTTCTGCTTGAATCGTCACCCATTATCAATACACGTGTGCGAAACCACAGTCAATCTCAGACATTAAAACTGATAATGATAGAAATGTATGTTTTGACGAACTGAATGTATTGCATACACTCTAAGAAACGCTAAATTAAATTCCAAGTTTATTTGGTAAGTTATTATCAAGTGGGTAAATTCTAACCCAATAATCGTTGTCTTCCTTAGAATCCTACCGTTTACCAGGTTCTAAAGTGTTATGCAATCATGACAGCTTAGTTACATATCTCAGTAGTATCAAGCGCCGCCATCTGAAAAGTGAAAAATTTCTTCACCTCCTTGTTAAATCTTGTCACTGGCAATTGAAAATCGGAATGGGTATCCTTTATAGTCAACGCTTTTTAGCAGGTTACATTTCTTCCTAGTGAAGTTAAGAGTTCGTCTACCTTTGTTATTTCAATTGTATAGCTTTCAAAACAATACCATTCTTCCTTCATATCAAGTTAGTTTTTCGACAGATACCTAGTCATCTTGTGATATGCCTTTTGAGAAAAAGTTGTTTGTTGCTATATTAACCTTCAATAGACTTTTATTTGATAGGAAGTTACTGAAATCGGTAATCAACACTTAATGTCTTGTTGCTATTATAGTAGAAGTTCTTGAACTTCAGTTTTTGTTCCATGCTGTGGTGTATTCAAAATAACAAGCTAGAATAAACTTTTCAGGCGTTTTATGTGGTGTGTTCTTATGTGCATAAAAATAGTGAGCAAATGATGGATTTTCATTGCATAAAATCGTCAGAATTTAGCTTTCACCCTTTTTATTCTTTTATGGCTGTGTAAAACATGAGATACCTTGAGAATAGTCGTTCTTCATGTTTATTTCGAACTTCTCTTCACATCCATTGCAGTGGCAATGCTGAAGGCCCATAATGTGCCACTAAGCTATTTAGGACTAATTATATACATGTATCGGTCATCATTTGGCAACCAATGTATAAGCGTGGACCGCAGTGCTGAACGCTAACTGAATTATATCCACCACCAAATTTGTAATTTGGCCGTTTAAACAAATGACACGACACTGTGGTCCACTATACAGGGAGTAATCACTCGGCGTCTGGAAAAGTTAGCGGTAAAATCTCTGCTTTCAGTATCGGGTAACCCAGGTCAAAATGACCGAGACATTATCACCTTCCTCATTTTCAAATATACAACTTGCTACTGTGGGCCAACAAGCATTAAACCTTGGTCAAACAGGGATTCCTGCCGTTTCACTCTCACCATTTAACACAAAAAATGGAACATATTGCGGTGTCCCTTAGCTTCACTTCATGGTGGCATTGCAGAATTTATTCGATAGAGTTCGTTAGTGTTGAGCGAACCCAGGTTGGATAGCTACCTCAGTTGCCATCTGTTGACCGATACATGCAGAAATACCTTTTTTGCAAAAATTTCGATACTACCAGTGGAAACAGAGACATCCATTTGATAGTTGATACATCTAGCCGGAAAGTGCTAGACAGAAAGGAATAGGCACTGAAAATCAGTCCAACTGAATACTCAGAACAATTGATCTTTAAAGTAGGATTCATGACAGACTGACATCAGTTGAAGAACAATTGAAAATCTGATAGCACTGCACAGTTGATTCGTCCTTGTATAGGACTTCTCAGTAATAAACACCCATTACCTTCAGGTTTTATGGCGAACGAGTTAAGCATTCAACCATTGGGTCGGACATTTAAAGTGAAGTTGTGAGCTGCGGGGTCAACCAGTGAAGCAAATTCCAACTTAACAAATTGCTGGATAGCCGCGCTATATCCCGAGTCGATAGAAGTAGGAAACTATTGACTGTTAAACTCCGACCCAGTGGTTGAATAGGTTGTGCAATCAATGTGAAACGTAAGTAACTTCTTTTCAGCATTAGTTACTGGCCATAAGTAAAAGTGTTCACATACGAATTCCAGTAGGTCAGTTGCTCGAGCTTCTAACTCCTGCATACGTTCCTCGATCCGGCAAATTGCTTGTCCAGCCTCCTCACGTTCAATTTCATACCTTTGCAGACAGTATTGTAGGTGATCTAACTGAAGTTAAAGGAAATTAAACAGACGAAAACAAACATATAAATCAGTGGTAATATAATTTTTGCTGATCTGACTGGAAATAATTTATTTTAAGAATTGATACATAACTGACATCAAATTGTGTGAAGTGGTGGTCAATGGTTCTATTTTCACTGTTCATCGGGTATAAGAAGAGCTTAAGACTCACCGTTGATGGATTTCAAAGCTCTGCTGACATACGACCTCTTTTGATGAATACCTTGTTACTGTTTCTTGTCATATTTTGGCTATGTATATCAGATAGTCAGTAGCAGTCGTTACAGTAGGCGCGTTTGGGATTTCGGCCACTCAACTCTGGGTTTGGTAGTAAGATCAGTAGACCAATACAGATGCGAGAAAATACATATTCAAGATGTCATTATTAGAAAGTGATGATGAGTAGGTCGGTTAGTCATGCATCATTTAGCATAGTGTATTGATTAATCGGCTATATCTGACAGATAGACAGAATCAACGTAGAAGCTCAGACACAATTGTATCTGCTCAAATTGCTACAATTCATAGTAACGTTCAAAAAACAAGTGGATAGAAAAAGACTGATATCAAAAAAGACAAAGGTGTTAGGGGAAGAAACTATCTGAAGATAAAGATTGGTACAAATATTCAAGCTTTAGAAGAGGTCAAGGAGTAAATGCATCTGCACCATTGGGACCGGTTTCAGCCATGTTACCAAGAGTCATCAACCCTTGATTTCTTTCGTCTCGTGGACCTCAACCAGTCTACAACAGTCTACCTAATCCAGTTTTCTCTAGCATCAGAGGTCGGGGTTGACGGTGGATGGGTATGCACAGTACATGTCCAAGCTACCTCAGTCAATGAAGGTTCACCACCTCATCAATCGACTTGCCTGTCTTGTCTAGTGATCTTTGCCTGACCTAAACAGTGCTTATATAGTGATTTATTACCAATCACGAGCAATGCTACGAAGACATCTATGGCCTGAACTCTGTGACTGCCTCACGTCTTCTACTTTTAACGGCCATGTCTAAGCCCTACGATGAGATTGGATGGACTGAAGCACAGTCTACTCGTCCACTGATAGATAGTGGGATATCCTGATGTAATCACAGGTGACACAAGTCGGAAAGGCTGAGATTCCGTCAGACGGTTCAGGCTGATGCAACTCCCTAAGTAAGTAGAGCGGTCGATACACTCAAACACATCACTCCCTATTATAACAGTAATTGCAGACCATGTGGGAAATGCATGCCAAACATATTCACATTTCTTCTCAACATGTTCAGAAGACCTTGCATTTTGTCAGCTTCTTGACCAAGGAAGACGATTTCGTCTCCATCCTTTTGAAGTGAAGTGTTCCCAGGGTTACGTCCATTAGTACGTGTATGACAAAGTTGAAGAGGAACGGTGACAGTCAGCGTCCGTGGTAGACACCACTAGTTGTCATCAACTCACATGAAAACTCTCCACTGACCCTTAGACAGCTACGTGAGTTTGAGTAGCGAGCTTTAATGACCATGACATACTTGTTTGTTACTCCCTTCACTGTCAGACACTCCCACAACACCTCATGGTAGTATTAGTCAAATGCCACCTTCAGGTCAAAAAATATGGCAATGGTCAGCCGTCGATAGGTATGCCTGTGTTCCGAAACCTGCTGGAAAGTAAGAATACGCTCGATGCACAGTCGTTAAGCTGTCTGAAACCTTCAAGGTTTTCTCAAGTCTCTTGTTATCGAGTGAAGCTCCAGTTAGGCGTCAGATAACTATGGATCCTAAGACCTTGGATTATACCTCATGGTTGTCAAAGATTTCTGTCCCTTCTCTGGGATGACCAGAGAAGTAGACTAGTTTGACGGCAACAACTCCGATTTTCATACACTAACTAGTACCTCCATCACTTTAATCAGGAGTTTCTTACCTTCAACCTTGAAAACATGGGGTGGCAAACTGTCTAGTCAAACTGCTTTTCGTCGCTTCAGGTTCCCTACAGCCTTCTCAACTTCAAGGAGAGTCGGAAGATCAAAATCTACGCCCCATTCAGGTTCAGGATGGATGCTGAGCAACTGAATAGTTGCTGAGGGTCAGTGGAAATCCGCTCCAGTGTCCCGCCCAACGTTCTAGCCGTCTGTCTTGAGAGGTTATCAGCGTCCCACCCCGTCCTGTTGTGGTTTCATTGAACATCGTCTTCCTCTTGCCAATATTCTTAATAAGCCTAAATAGTTGACAGGCGCTACTCAACACTGATGCCTCCTCCATCTCTGTTACTTTAATCCTCCGCCACTGGTCGCGATCGGTGCGAAGACTGCTGGTCAACTTACGCATCAGTTGACTTCTCTATTCATTGTGGTCATAAACAGCTGAGATCAGTCATGTCATATCCATAAGTTTGGATAACGTTGAGGAAATTCAGTGACGTTTACTGATCTCAATTTACCGATTGTCTTTACCAATTTTTCTGCACCGGACTTAATATCAAATCAGATTTCTTCAGGGTGACCATAGCTGACACGTTCCGATAAATGCTTAGCTAACTGTCCCCTTAATAAATACTTGATACCCTCGCCTTGCAGTCAGCCATGGACAGGCTTTACTATCGCCCGTTCTCCTTTGACCATTAAGGCACATACATACATGAGCCCGTACTAGCACGTGATTGGAGTCCAAAATGGTTCTCCGGAAAGAGTGGCGATCCTCCACCTATCCCCCTCCGACGATGGCTTATAGCAATGTGATGTGTCTGTGTTCATCGTTGATTTGACGTCGGTGGACGCCATGTGGGATACTGCTGGCTATAAACAAGTGATAGTCGGAACAAAATTGCCACAGATGATCAGTGTTGCATTTTTATTGGTATAGGATTCTGTGGATGCCTTTCCGATTAGTTCAGCTTTCCTACTTGAGCGTTAGAGTCACCTACCTTAATGATTAGATATGACGGTTTTGCTCTTTGTAGAAAAGTTGATAGCTTCTTATAGAATTAATCTTTTAAATCGTCCGAACTGCAGTCGGTGGATGCGTAGGCAGATTGCGAATAGGCATCGCCTAGTCTCATGATCCTTCTTATTCCTTACAGATCCGTCCAGTCGAAAAGCACACATGGCTGTTGTAGAGTATGCAGTCTAGGAGCGCACATTAAGCCCTACAACTCAATGCTATGCCTACGCCAGCAAGTCCATGAGGGCTAGCCACTAAGTCTCCGGATACTCAGGGTGGATTTTGAAAATTCACCGCAGTGGTCAGGTGAGGTTAATTGAATCGCCACACTTGGATCCTGTATACGTGTCTCTGAGGCAGTATACATCTATGGCTAGAGATTCTAGAGTTTTTGTGAGCGATGCTTGCTGTCCGATTCTGCATAGAGTACGGAGGTTGGGAGCTTCTACATGAAATCGATGGTGGGGTCTTAGGAGACTAAGAATGAAGTTTCGATAACTTCGATCGTCCGCGATGGTCGCAGAATGAGAGGTTGGCGAAGGTGTAAAGGGCTTAACATTAGTATCGGGAGGTGAAGGCAAAAGAGGGGACAGAATTTACGGCGATAGATTATTTTTGATTCTGTCTTGTGTGCTTCTGTAAGCGTGTAAGTGGATGACATTTCCCGGCTGCCCATAACGTGGAAGCCTAGTTCTTCTTGGGGACCGTAAAAAAGAAGGGTTAGTGCGTGACTTCAGAGCCCAAAGGACATCCGTCCGAGGCTGCCTAAACATGGCTCTTCAGCAGTTTTTAGATTTCGATCTTTTGCTTAGGGGCCCGACTGTGAATCCTTGTTGCAGACATCAGGATACTTCAGTGAAATGGGAATTTACTGTTTTGTGGGCCGACCTTTTCTTACCCCTACTTCCCACACAGAAAGCAGCATATGGGCTGTATTGCCGGTTATCCAAGGAAGCAATTCTTTGCCATCATACCCTTACCCAGTCGGCAGTTCGACTCCACACTCAGACTCCATCAAAGCGTAGCAATACACATTATAACGGTAATTGCTTTTCGTCTCACTGCTACCCGACAGACCTTCCTGGTATTGTAGGACTTCGAAGGAACAAGGGTTACAGTAGCATAGCTCGTTGGGTCATTTTGATACACAAGCCCGACCGCCACTTCAAGGTGGCAGCTGTCAGTCAGGGTTGGTGGTATCTGTACAACTTTAGTCAGTTTTGTCTTCATATGGTATTAACATGACCCTTATTGTGAAAGGAATATCTTGACACTATAATGTCTGTGCATCACCAATGTTGTTCTTGATCCGACGGTGCGGCTGATGTCACTGATAGCAAATCCACTTGCAGTTGCCTCTTTGTTCCTATGGATAACGGCTTGTGGGAACCACTAGAACACTGGTTCTGTCTAATATTATTGCCCTAGTTTTCTATTTTTGAACGGATCATACTGTCATTAACGCTACTTAATCTGACTCAGACTGAAGACAAATGTGCTTTGATAGCCCACTAAGGATGATGTTTATTTTAGGCTAGTCTTCATCACAGACTAATATCAGTTATAGAACTTTTGAAAGTCTAAAAGCAGTAGCTAGCTGTTTAACTTAAACATGGAACTTCTCAGCAGTGCGCACCCCTGACCCCTTCAGGGATCGGTCCTAAGACCTACAGGTCTTGCGGCGAGCACGTTATCTTTCAGGCGCTGCATCATGGTCAGCTGTTTCCCAGTATTCTACTTGTGTTAACTCGTGAGATAGCGTGACTATCATCCAAAGTTATTGGTTGACATTGGCATCACCTCTGATTTCATTGACATCACAGGTTACAGTTTCTCTATGGAATATCGGGATGAACATCTCATGGTGGAAATTACCCTAAAATGAATAAATCCTATAACCCTCAAACCAGATAATGTATTTGACAGATTACACGGAAAATATACAAGGCTGAGAAAAAATAAGTGGACAAAATGGTTCTTGCTGTCTCATTCATTTCGTCTAGGGACATGACAAGAATTTTCAAAATGTAATATATAGACACAGGTTATCTAAGAAATATCATGTAT